GACTTCATCTTTTATTCTTAAAGGTTTATTAAGCTAGCGGGATACAGTACTCTCTGAAATTACGCGTGAATTTAACTGGGAACGCACACAATTGGGTATAGCGTAATCCGGAAGCCTTGTAGACAGTTTTTTCAACTGCTACGAGTTCTTATAACGGGAAAAAAGGCAATTTTCGTTACATTTCCTTTTAGGGTTCTATGCAGTCGCCAGATTATTTTTTCTGACTTTTCTCGGATTTATAAAGGCTCAATAAAAGTCACCTTAGTGTGGCGTCCGTCGAGATTCGGTGTGCCGGTATCATGAAGGAATTTGCTGATGCTACCGTCTTGATCTTCCAGTTCCAGAAATCCAGGCAGGGTGAACAGCTGTGATCCACTTCTTCGCATCAGTGGAGCATACTGAGAGCACGGCGCAATCTCAAAAGTACAAACAGTGAACTTACTGGCCTCTGGTATCAAAGCGCCAGGCAAGGCACGTCGCATGATGGGGATCCCAAGCAAGAGGGGGGGGGGCGTCACTGGTCGCTGAAGTTAGGCATCGTACTTGTCTTTGAGAAAAATGTTTTCGGTTGACGATTTTTCTTGATTTTTCCTGTTTCAACTACCCCTCCTTCCCCATTACCCACTCGTTGCTAACTCAAAAAAGTGGTGGGAACTTGGGAAAATTCAGGAAGATTCTAGGTAGGGTAGGAAGGAGGGGTCGTACCAGAGGAAACAGTTCGAAGGGGGAGAGGGGGGGGTTCGCAAAAAGGTTTTGCAAGACGTGCCTTGGCATTAGGCCTTCTAAAGTAATATTCCACGCTAATGGTATGGGCGGAGCCACTTGGGTATTACGCTGTTCTCATTGGTGTGCTGCTCCTCTTTGTCGCGTCGAAAGGATCGTTTCGTTAAGTTCTTAGGTGGCTCCGCCCACACAGTCATCGTGGAATCGTGCTTACTCAAAATTAGCACTTACCATAAGAGTTACTGGATAATCCGAATCGCCTGGACGTGGTAATATGGCATTGTAAAAGAGACTCTTGCCTTTAGTGAGAATCGGATGCTGAGATTCTATGATAAAATGAGAAAACTCCAGCTGACCCAGCTGATTACGCGACACTGGCTCTTCACCGCGCCTATAAATGATATATTAAAAAAATAGGCAAAAAATCTAGTGTAGGTCTGTTTCACCTCATGTCATTGGCCAGTCGGTCAGCAACCATGGAAAGGGTCTGCACATGGGATAATGCCATCTGAAAACAAACTCGTGAAGAAATTCTGGCGCAGAACGGCTTGGAGGGGGGGGAGGCATAGTCGTTTCGCTGCTTTCCTTTGTCGTGTCGAGTCTGATCAAGCCATGAAGCGATACCAGTTGAACGACCAAGAGATCACTTGTCAGCTCTTTCAAATGATTTCCTGTCAACACATGTAAAGCAATGGACACGGCAGGGGGAAGCAGCAAAAGTGCAAAATGTCCAATACCCCCCTCCCCCCCCGTTCGCTGAACTGCGCCATTAAGGGGTTAATAGACGTATAAATGAAAAGTACATTGAAATTCCAGTCTGGAAATCCTGTAGACCCTACCTGGAGATATAGCTTGTTCTGGTCCTCGGGACTATCCAGCGACCTCTTGCCAAACAACAATTCCGTCTGAGAAAGGCGATTACCACTTCCAACACTTTCGTTGGACAAGAAGATTGGCACCGAATGCAAGGTGGAGCGAGATGCTAAATTTTTTTAAGGTCCAGACATTTCACTTCAGAAAAGTCTGTTTCTGTGACTAACTCGATCTCTGTGTCCGACACGGGTGACAGTGCGGCGCCGATCGAAGCTCGTTCGTCTTTGGAACGACTACGTCTCGTGAAAACTCCAGAAGGGGCATTCACATCTACGCCTGCCAACACCTTTCGACAGCTGCCGGTGTTGAATCGAGACTGAAATGTCTAATTATTAGAGTTATGTTCCTTGCAGAGGTGTAACTTTGGGGTCGGAGAAAGGTAGAAAGAAAGAACAAGTCTGGCTGCTCTAGGTCAAGTCACGCAAGAATAAAACGAAGGGGGTCATTTCATCAAAATATCAATGAGTTGCCACAAGAATGTTGGGTTATGGACAAAAGTCAGACGCAGACGGGATCCTGAACCCGCACTTCAGCACGCTGACCGGGCGAAAGCGCTATCCATCACCACAGTCCATCACCTCATACCGACTCAGCTCTCTCAACTGAATCGCCCGAGCAGTTTCAGTGTCCTAATGCGATAGCCCACACTTGCCTGGTCATTAAGAGGTACGAGTTCGAGTCCCGCTCAGCTCTGACTTCAGTTATCATACCAATAAGCCACGCTCAGAAACTAGTGGCACGGTTAAAACCACAGGAATTTCAATAGGGGGGAGTAAATTTGCGGCGCCTGCGGTTCCATGAGTAGATCCCGTTTTAAGCCAGCCCAACAGTTGCATAAAAATGCTGCCGCTGGCCCCCCCAAATTCACACCTTCTACACCGGCTCTCTTCGCCGTAATGTGGGGTGCCTCAAGAACCAGAACGTGCCAGGAATTGATGGTTTCACAAATTGGCTACCTTTTATGAATAATTTCAAACCCTTCCCATTCGGATCATTTTGAAGTAAAACCTAGAGTCTTACTAGTTTTTTTAACATCCAAACTAATGGTGTTTTCAGACCTACAACAAAGGCAGCATTCACGCCAACCGAGATGGGCGGATACGGCCAACCATTTGCAGTTTCTTTGCAGTTTTTTTTTTTATTTACCAGCAATGAAAACTCCTGTTCACCATTTTACAAGTAGAGGCGTACCAGTAGAACAGTAGAATGGTTGATCGTATCCGCCCACACAATCAACGTGAAATCTTGCTTTCAATCGAAAGGAATATCGAGTATTGTTTGCCAGAACAGGCTTTCTCTAAAACCTCTTCACGGCATTTGAGAATCAAGGAGGGGGGAGGCGAATAAAAAAAACTCAAAGAAACTAACCGGCACACCAAGTTTCGGATTTGGTGGTAACTGTTCCGCAGGCAGAGGTGAATTACGAATTGAAGGCAATTTCTAGAAAATATTACGGAGTAGCTCCAGTAAAAATAAATATGCATCAAATTTGCACACTAAATAATCAAGGTCAAACATAAGGCAAATTCCTTGCTGATCGCGTATGGGTGGAGTGGGCTGCCATTCGGGCGCACGACTGAGAAATGCACCTCCGTAGGCCTGGCTCTTGCCACACAATTGGATCAAATGAGCAGTGCACGCTGAACGTACGGGCGGAGACGGCCTTCAAGAGTGTCTTCGTCATAATCGTGGCTCTAGCGTATCAGAAGGAGGGAGGTGGGCGAATAAAAAGCTGGAGTGATTGACTGTCCCCACCCCATATGATCAGCATAGAGAAATGCCCTCAATACTACAGTACCTTAGTTGGCATTGCTTCATCGATAGGTGAATCGACTGGACTCAAATACATCGTTAAGGGATCATCGATGTCCGATTCTCTTATCCACCTGAAACAAAATGGAAATTCCTTCTTCAATTTACTCTAGCTAGCACTGAATATTTTCCAGCTACACACCTAGCCGGAAGACTTCGTCGTTTTGGTGTTGGGACTTTTGCAATCAAGGGAGCCGGCCGATTAGAGATTGCGGTAGGCTCAGGGGTTGAGCCGGTGTGACTGAATGGACTATGACTGCTCGGATGTTCTGATGAGCTGGACGTTGCACCACGACTAGGCAGCCTTGATGGACTAGGCATCTGAAGAGCACTCCTTGTAAGGCTCGGTTTCGTGCATTCAAAAGGATATTCCACGACGAGCGAATGGGCGGAGACTGTCAGATGATGCGCGCAGGCGCACAACTGATGGGCGGAGTGCTACTTTGGTGCATTCTTCATAAGCGCACCACTGTTCTCCATAGCACTAGAATAAGGGTGTAAAGGAACATTATTATGAGTCTCCGCCCACTCTCTCACCGCGGACTTTGTCCACCACTTACCATTCTTGGTGACGTCTCTCTTGTTGGCATAAAACTGATTGGACTTTGAATTGAGGACATACTCGCGCGTGATCGTCCTGAAGTATTTCTGGACGCGGGACTGCTCCTGAAAAAACAACGGTCCTATAACTGGTTCAACTTTTTCGGCCTACCATAATGACTCTGCAAACTGACGTGGGTCCTGAATTCAAGCTGCTTCGTTGCGCTGGTGACCATGCTTCTCTGGGCGGTTCATGCTCTGGGGACCAAACTCCTCCTGGAGTTATTCCTCGGCAAGTCA